TCATAGACATTAGAAATTTAAGGGTAAATCAATAATCGATTTATTTACTGACTCCGCATTTAAATATCAGACACAGTTTAAAGTCATTTTAACTATGAAAACGTGGGGTTATTCAAGTTCAGAATCAGTGAAAATTTTAATTTGAACGTAAATAACAAATATCATGTTCAACTACACTCTATCTCGTATTTTTATTTTTTACCTCAGATATGCCATATATAGCTTTAAGTATTAATGTATTTATAAAGAATTCAAACATTACAGATGCCAAAATATTAGTTTTAAGATATATGCATTATGAATCAAACAAGAATTGACTTAATATTATAAATTTTAAGTTATAATAAATAACACAATCAAATGTAGCAAAACTGGCATGTACCTGAGAAATATCAAAATATAAGTATTAATTATAATCAAAGATTACACAGGTCATCTCTACAAGTCAGTCAATTGTTATACCTTTAGAAGTACGACAAAGTCTCACCTTTATAAATATTGGGGTAGTAATTAGTGCAAGATTTAAACATGTTTGGTTTTTGTAGGATGTTTTAAAGGTTGTACTATATGTAATATATAGGAATGGGCTTGCTCCAAATCTTTATCTGTTCAATGATTGGTCACCATAGGGCTTACAGTTACTTCAGCTAGAATGAGACCTGCACCAAAAAAAAAAAAATCTCTGGTCACTCAACCAAAAAATATACCGGTAGGTCAGATCCAGCATCTGAAGCAAGTGTGGTAGTGTATACATCCTGAGATGCATCATCCATGCAAGTTAAGTCACCATAAGGCTTCTAGGGTTGGGCAATAATACCTATATTCTCGTGTATATATAGCTGTATGTTAATTGATAAAATTATCCTATTGCAATTAAAAGAAAAAGTGAGCAAGCTCACATACCCCACCCTCCCCCAAAACTCGACAATGCAACACATAATGAATGGCACAGTGCATTTTCAATACACAGTATAATTCAAAAAGGGGCATTACTTGCAAAAAATCATCACATCAAAACTTCTTGCATAGAAGGACATTCAAATCTTTGTATGTTACAAATTGAATTGGGCTGAAGTTTCTAGATAAAAAATGGAATCAAAATTTCTTGGTAATATACAAATCTATACATTATGTCTAAAATACCTACAAAGTTTCAGGAAATTCAGTACAGGAGTTATGCTAACTAATTTTAATTTAATTTTAATTTAAACATATTTTATTGAGTAATTCAATAAGGATTGGGCAACAGGCAAGGCCTATGCACACCCTCTCCTTGTATAATAGGTCAAGACATAGACATTGAATAATAATACTTGAACATGGTAATAAACTTGCTAATAATACAAAATAAAGATTCATAATCAAGTATTATTCATCAGTATCATAAAAAAAGAATGATAACCCCCTAATTGTATACAAATTATTTACATACTGTTCCAGCTTTCATATGAATATTGTAAAAATAATATATATATATACATTCAACAGAGTATTTAATATTATAGTGTACTCAACTAAGTCTCTTAGTAGATTTTATAAATTCATGTACATATGAAAATATTTTACAATTTGTTTGATAGGAATATTGACTTTTGCCTCTTAACAGAGTGTCGAGTTCAAAGACAACATCAATATCATTTAATTTTTTTACCAGTAAATTTCTTTGAACAATATATGATGGACATTTGATAAAGTAATGTTCAGTATCCTCTGTATAAAATCCACATTTTTGACATGATGGTATGTCTGATAAAAAATGATTTTTTATGCTTTTTATGAGTTATGCTAACAAACTGTTATTTAAATTCCTCAGTTATTTCGATTTGTTAATGAGTGTAAGTCCATGTCCAACACATGACAATTTAAACATTTAAAAAATGGATGGAAACCAAATTATGATGTAGTCATATGAATTTGTTTATATACTGTACTTATGAAATTATTTAGGCAAAGCACCAATTTGAGGGGGGGGGGGGGGGGGGGGGGTGAGAACTATCCAAGATTGTGTGTGTGTTAAATCAATAATATTTTGATCTCAAAATCAATAGGGGTCTTTTAAGGTCATAAAATATTTCACATAAAATTTCATTACAAAAGCTGATTCCAAGGGATTTCCTTATTACCTAGCTGGAAAGTTTCTTCAATAATAGGCAAAACTCTTATGGCAAAAATAATGGAATTGGAATTTCCTGGTAATATGCATATCTACACACTGTGTACTAAATATCTGCAAAGTTTTACCAAATTCTGTGCAGCGGTTTAAGAGGAGTTGCACTAACAAACTGTTCATTTCTATATTAAAGATATGGCCAAAATCTAAGTTGAAAAGTGCCGAAATTCCCAGAAAAATAAAGGAATCGAAATTTCCTGGTTAATATGCACATCTACACACTGTGTACTAAATATCTACAAAGTTTGATGAAATTCTGTGCAGCGTTTTATGAGGAATTGTGCTGACAAAAAAACAGGACTGACTGACGGACAATTAAAAACATTATACCTCATGCAACTTGTTGCGTGGGGTATAAAAATTTTTTTTTACTTTAAGTTTTTATGACCCCTTCAGGTACGAGTTATATTTTTTAGCTCACCTCAACGAAGTTAGGGGAGCTTATGTAATACCCTCGGCGTCGGCGTCCCAGGTTAAGGTTTTTGGAGCAGTTTTCTTTTCAAGTACTTCTATGGCCTATATTAGTCAGAGATGCATGGAGGATGCTTCTAGTGTGTTTCATTGTACCAGTCAAGGTTTCAGATGCTGCAATTTCAGCTAAAGAATGACCAGGTTAATGTTTTTGGAGCAGGTTAAAGTTTTTGGAACAGGTCTCATTTCCAAACTTGCATGGATGATACATCTAAGGATGCACACTACTGAACTTGCTTCGGATGCTGGATCTGACCTACATTTTCCGGATGAGTGACTAGGTTAAGGTTTTTGGAGTAGGTCTCATTTCCAAATAACTATAAGCCCTATATTGACCAAACTTGCATGGATGATACATCTAAGGATGCACACTACTGGACTTGCTTCGGATGCTGGATCTGACCTACATTTTCCGGATGAGTGACCAGGTTAAGGTTTTTGGAGCAGATCTCATTTCCAAGTAACTAAAAGCCCTATATTGACCAAACTTGCATGGATGATACATTAAAGAATGCACACTACTGGACTTGCTTCAGATGCTGAATCTGACCTATATTTTCCAGATGAGTGACCCCATATCAAAAAATAATACATAAAAGTATATTTTTAATATATTTTTAATACAATCATTTTCGTATTGTTTAAAATTAATACAGAAAAAATATATTATTTTTGTATCACCAACAAATAGGTAGATTATTTTTGTATTAAAATCTGACTTTGATTTTTTACAGGGTATTATTTTTGTATTTTTTGGGACTTAGATTATTTTCAGTATATCATTTTTGTATTTTTGTGGACTTAGTTTTTTTCAAGTGTATTTTTTCTGTATTAAAATTGAACTTAGTAATTTTACAGAAAATTACATAGAGTTAATCTGTATTATTTTTGTATTAAAATTGAACTTAGTAATTTTACAGAAAATTACATACAGTTAGTCTGTATTATTTTTGTATTAAATTTGGACTTATTAATTTTTCCAAAAATACTACACAGTCAGTATGTATTTTTTTAATATTTATTTTGGACTTCGTGTTTTCTTTTACTGAAATTTGTATTTCTTTGAACTTAGGAAAATTTACAGAATGTCCTTGCAATAAGTCTGTTGGAATTAATATTTTTTCTCAGATTTTATTAATTAAGACCACTGCTATAAAGGTTGCTTTTATACTATTTACATTTAATTGCTATTTAGAACAGAAAACTTCAGTAGTTTAAATTTTTTAACTAAACAATTTCATTTTTAAAACATGTCTTTACTAGGTGTGAAATTGTCATTTGGAAAGAGATAGATACGTCTAAGGGGACACCTGTGCTGTACATGATACTTGTAAACACGCGGTAAATTTTGAAGTTTCAGAGTTTCAGACTTTCTTTTTGTGTTGGAAATTTTACAGCGGGTTTACAACCGAGTGTTTACAACTATCGCCAACAGCACAGGTGGCCACCTGCAGGCTAACAATAGACGAGTACATGCTATATTACTCAAATAAATAACATGATTTACCCGTGAAAACACATCCCAACCAAAACAAAAACAAGCAACATGGAGAGTTCCACTAATTACAGTACCTACGATGTTTTCTTGACTATACAACTCAATTTAGTATACATTATATTTAATTCAGTACGTATTACAATTACATGGAATAGAACTATTTAATTATCCGCTTTAAAAAAAAATTAAATAAGAAATTATTACGAAAGAATATCATAAAATAATATAGAAAATGTTGTGAAATTGGTGTAAAGGATAGTTGTTAAACATTATTACAATCTCTGGTACCGTATGTATGAGTTAAGTTGTCCGTCAAAAAGGCTATATATTATGTATCTCCCGCTCGTTTTGATCATTATATTTGAACTTTATGGTCTACTTCACAGGTCAACTTGAATATAAAAATGGCTGCTCTCAGCGGAAATGATGACCGGAAATAACGATGTTTCGTAATCGGTAAATTCCGTAAGGAATAAAAAAATGATTCTGATGATTAAATTGAACATCGTTTATTTCTAACATAATTTTAGGTTTGTTCAATTGATTCAAGATATTTAAAACCATGTAAATATGTTTTCTCTAACTGTTCCGATCTCAACATCGGTAATTTTCGTATATATGACACAATATGATTGGTCAGATTTTAAAACTCTTCCGTACTGTTCTCTGATTGGTCAACAATATTTCACCCACGCCATTTTGAAAATTCTTCCCGGGATGTGTTGAGAAAGCTGGAGGTGATTTTGAATAAACTCTCATTTGCTCGCGAGTAAAATGTATCGAAAAACAGAAGTTCAGCATAATTATGGTACACAGGATCATATGTATGAACCAAGGAAAGCAAATACATAAGGAGACTGATGTTTTTTAGGCATCATATCCGGACTTTTCTGGTGTAAACAACGACAGTTGCGGTAAGATTATGTATACTTTAGCACATTAAAGTTTCAGTTTTTTAAATAATAATTTAGTACAAAGATAGAGGAACAAAGAATGCCTTTTTTTACCCATTTTGTAGTATTGTAGAAAGATAAAATAGTACGGTTATTGGCCATGTGGGGAACAAGGGTTTTTGTGATAAATTCTGATTGGGGAGGGAGGGGTGGAAGATGGGGGTAATTTTCAAGCCTTTGGCTTCCTAGTTCTAATTCATTCCAATTTTTTCAAGTTTACCAGAGACGAATTATTTATTTTCCCTTCAAAAACAATTCTGTAATTTGTATAAACTCAAATTTTTTCGAGGGGGGGGGTAGGTTGGGTTCGGGGGGGGGGGCAGTTTATTTAAATAACATTGGGGCACACATTTTGTTTACTCTTTCAACATTTTCAAGGACAGATTGTTTATTACAAATATTTTTTTAAAAATATTTTATAAATCAGTCCCCACCCCCCTTTTTCTTCTCCAGATTGTCAAATCAAATGGTTGTCCCCTAAGAAACCCCAGATTAAAGAAAAGTAATATCAATGGTACAATTGTATGGAATTTGGTGAACTCCGCTGGATCTTTTGGAATTTCAATTTATAATTATTGTTAATTTTAGTCAGCAGAACATTGAAGAAAAGCTGATTAGTCATGGAGGAAGAAGATCCCTCTCAAGAAAGTATTGCAGGTGTGTGAGCTAAACAAAATCTATATAGAATTATTTTGGATGTGAAAATGTGTGTTTTGTTGAGGTAATGGTTCATTAAATTTTATTATTATATCATTCTGTTCTATATTTCACAGTGATGAAGTCAGATGAGATGACAGGTTGTGTGATTTGAAGATGGACTTCTGCAACAAAGTAAACACTCCTCTACCTTTTTCCATACAAAAGTAGAGAGATTGAAACATTTGGTAAAAGTACAAAGAAAACAGGATTAGTTAAACTTGTGAAAAATATCAAGACTATTGAAGATCAGATTATATGTAAAAAGAAAGATCAAGACTACAATTGGTAGCTGAATCAGTAGCCTGGCCACATTAATTACTTTTTAATTAGCTATTTGTACATTTAAGGTAATCTGAGTTACTAAAATTGTTATTTAACAAATATTTCAAATAAATAAAAGATTTTTGAATAACAATCAATAGATGCTATTAAGAACCTCAATCTCCAACCCCTTTTCTTCAAATAAGAATTTTTGCCCATGATCATTTTTGTAGTTTTTAAAACTCTGTTTTGTATTATTTTAAGCATTTAAATGTATTTTTTGTCTATTATTCTTGTACTTTTTTGATATTTTTGAAATACAATCCTTCATGCTGATAAAAATACAAAAACAATACATATTAATACAAAATTAATACATTCTATATTTTTTTCATACTTTTTTGTGTACTGTATTATTTTCATATTTTATATCTTTTTTGTACTTTTAATTGTTCCAGATGAAAAAATACAAAAATAATATATGTGATACAAAATTAATATATTCTATATTTTTTTTGTATTTTAATTCTTAAAGGTGAAAAAATACAAAAATAATATATGCTAATACAAAATTAATACATTCTGTATTTTTTCTATACTTTTCTATGGACTGTATTATTTTTATACTTTGGAGAGGAAAATAGAGAAATAATACAAAAGTACAAAAACAATACGTTTTTACAGGTCATGTGTATCATTTCTGTATTATTTCGAAAAAATAAAGTATATTAAAAATATATTTTTCTGTGTTTGGCTTTTAAAAAGTCTATTATTTTTGACCTAAATTGGAACCAAGATTTAGAGGGTTCCAAATTTGGTCATTAAAAATATACTTTTTTTGTATTATTTTAGTATTTTTTTCTTGTATTATTTTTGTATTCATTTTCGATATGGGCAGGTTAACGTTTTTGGAGCAGATGTCATTTCCAAGTAACTATAAACCCTATATTGACCAAACTTGCATGAATGATACATCTAAGGATTCACACTACTGGACTTGTTTCGGATGCTGGATCTGACCTACATTCTGGATGAGTAACCAGATTAAAGTTTTTGGAGCAGATGTCATTTCCAAATAACTATAAACCAAACTTGCATGGATGATGCATCAAGGGACGAACAATCTCAAAACTTGCTTCGGATGCTGGATTTGACTTACATTTTCTGAATGAGTGACTAGTTTTAAGTTTTCAGATAAGTCTATTCCCAAGTAACTGCAAGCCCTATCAGACCAAAATTGCATAAATGTTGCATCTAGGGATGCACACTCCTAGATTATTAGTTTAGTGTGGGACTTTGCCTTACTTAAAGACAACATTTGTTGAGGTGAGCTCTGTAATCTCTGATTACCTATGTTTATATATAAAGTTTTGTAAGTTATAGTCATCATACTGCAAAAATTTTAGGACGATTTATTGTTGCATTTTCTTTGTTCAGGTAAATAACAACAACTGACATTGAAATTAAATTTGTATATACTTTTTCATTATAGCAGAGAATTGACAATTTGTCTGAAATTGTGAGTGAAAAATTCTAAGCAATCAGATTGGCTAAAATTTTTTGATGACCATAATACATACATGGGTCATTACCTTGTATATCGTGAATGGCATATAATTCACATATACCGGTAAACCTCAGAAAGACTTACATGTATCTAACTTACAAATGCATTACAAATGCATGTATGAACCATATTTATAGATTTATTAAGTTTGAATGATGTGTCATTGGTGTACCCTTGGGGTCCTTTGAATCCTTAAAAAAATGTTTTGTGTATTGAAATAAACAATAAACAGATAATGATGTAATTAAAAAATGCACATAAACCATATTTACAATTATTAAAGCTGAATTGGATGTCAGTGATATGGCTCATTATTGGGGTACTTAAGGGTATTCTTCAGATAGCTAGGGTTTCCTTGGTATCCTTTTTGTGTATTAAAATATGCAATAAACAGTTACTATGTTATTTACAAAAGCATAAAACCATTTTTAGATTTATAAAGGTCCAAATGGGTGTCCTTGGGGTATTCTGGGATATTCTTCGGGTTACCCTGGGATGTCCTTGTGGTAACTTAAGGCTATCCTTTGGTTCTTAAGTGAGTATCCTTTTGATTTGTGTATTGAAGTATATACAATAAACAGTTAATGTATCATTTACAAATGCAAATATAAACCATATTTACATGTACATTTATTAATGTTGAATTGGGTGCCCTAGGGTACACTGGGATTTTCTTGTGGTACCTTAAGAGTATTATTTGGTTTTATGTGAGTGCCCTTTGGTTTTGTGTATTGAAATACACAAATCATAGTTTAAACAGGATTATTTATTTACACCGTATAAAATATTTAAGTTTTTCAAAACTAAACATGCATAATTGAGCTTAATTGTTTAATTAATTAATATTACTTATAAATTTTTAACTTGGGTAACTGCTCTGTATTTAAGACAATTAATTTAAAAGTTAATTTGTCTTTCAACATTTTTTTTTCTAATTTACAAGTGCATATAAACCATATTTAGAATAATTAAGGTTGTATATGGTGTCCCTGGGGTACCTTGTGGTATCCCTGGGGTTCCTTGTGGTTCCTTGTGGTATCCTTGTGGTTCCTTGTGGTACCTTGTGGTTCCTTGTGGTAAAAAGACATACCCCTTAAAAAGCATTGTCAAAAAGCTTTGTTTTTGTCTTTGTATTACTTTAACAAACAATTGTTATAACTAATCAAGACTATTCTTGGCATGGATTATCTAATTACTTGCATCAAGAACAATAGTGGTATGAATTATCTAATTATGAATCAACTTGGCTGAGGTGGCAGAGGATAGTTTTTTAAATGCCAAACATGTGCCGAGGGGGTACACATATACATGCGATCCATAAAAACATGTACATGGGGACAGTTTTTCAGGGGCTAATTAATTACACTTCATATGCCCATGGCTCACAAATTATGTCAACAAATTACATGTAATTTGCCTAGTAGAGTGCACATGTACCAAAAATGCACCTGGGGTCTCCCCAAATTTTGGCTTGTTTTTCCAAGATTTGGGCCTCAGTCGCACCCATCCAACCCACTCCCAGGCCCAAGCGAGCAGGATAAAACACCCAGTAGTCTGTAAATCAATGCATGCCCTAATGAAAATTCACCAATTGATATGGGGCCATTCACCTTCCCTCTGAGATACACACCTTCTTCTAAGGCCTACTGCTTTTCAGCTGAATTTCCTCTGCAACTGACCACGTGTCTTAGGTTCGCATTTACAACTCTGTATATGATAAGCATCATAGTGACACCTACATGTTGCACATTAATTTTTTCAGCAAGCACTCTGCTACACTGCAAATGTGTCCCATAATTATTCGAATCATTTTTCTACATAAAATATCACATCAAACAGGGGATATCTCAAATTTTTAAGAAATTTGACTGGGTCTTTAGTACAAAACTATCCCCTGCCACCTTTAACTTTCAAAGTTTGCTTTTTAATTAAAATAACTTTCCATATTTAGAAAGTGCAATCAATTCTGAGTAAAAATATACTAAATATGTCTTATTTCAATGAAAAATAAAAAAGTTAGAGGCAAATATGTGACCCCACCAATTGTCGGTCAACTACCTTAACCCCATATTCTTTGTGTTACTTCAAAAATGACCAACTCCTACAATTCAAAAGAATCTATTTCTTATCAAAACAGTGTTTAATGGTAACTTTGATCAATTTCAAATGCAGCTACATATAAAAAATTCAATAAGAATTGCATGCCTAGATGAAATGTACTCACATGAAACACATACTCTCCTATTTTTGATGTTTTGAGAAATCCCATTTTACCTCTTAATTGCTTGAATTTATACATCTATAGCTTGTTTGCAAAAAGAAAACCTAATCTATTTTTCAGGATATTTATTGTAATATACAAAAACCCCTCTTCCATCAAAGGTTCAAGAAGAAGTATCCTGGAAATTGCAGTTATCTACCCTACCCCTCCAACCATTACCTGATTCTATAGAAAATATACTGTGGAAATCTGATTTTACTGACTGTCCTTTTTCTGAGTATATTTCCATTCAATTTCAATGTATCTGAGTGATCAAATACATGCATTTGATTCCCCTGAATATTTAAAGTGATCATCCTGTCCTTACTTGGCATTTGTGAGTAAATTTCAGGTGTTTAGTAGAATCCAATAATTACATGAAAATGTACATATTTCTGATATTTTGTTCATTAAATATGCAAAAATACCATCTGTTTTGTTACAATTTAAAGAAAAATATATAATCTATATGAAAATAATGAAAAGTTTAAGTTCTATCACATCATAGAAGACAAATGAGGGGGAAAATGAAGGGGAGGGGGTATTTTTGAGCCCCTTTAATTTTAATTAATACTAAGTGATTGCATCAAAATTTGATAAAATATATGTGATAGTGCCCAAACTATTATTTTCAAACAAATAAATTTTTTTCAGACAAAAATTGCCTTACTCTGTTAAGATTTGTTATGCTGATGCTTCAAACTCTTTGAAAATGTGTACTGGGAAAGGTTTACCCCCCTTGTGTTTAGGTCTCTCTACCTAAATGAATAAGAGTCAAATAAAAGAAATATGGTGAGTTTTGAAAATGGCATACATCAATAAACTTATTTAGAGAAGAATTAGACTAAATTACATAAGCATCATAGTGACACCTACATGTTTCACATCATTTTTTTCAGCAAGCACTCTGCTACACTGCAAATGTGTCCCATAATTATTCGAATCATTTTTCTACATAAAATATCACATCAAACAGGGGATTCTCAATTCTTTAAGAAATTTGACTGGGTCTTTAGTACAAAACTATCCCCTGCCACCTGAACATTAAAACCTGCTTGAACTTCACTAAAAAACATGCAATAAACAAACTGAATTTGATCACATATTTTG